GACGCTCAGGGAGGGAACCCGACACAACAGACCGCGTGGGCTGTGAGTCCGCGTGTGTGAAACGTCCAGAACAGGCTCATCCACGGACAGAAGGGGGGCTCGGGGGGTTGGGGATTTTTAGGGAAGATGAGAAAGTTCTGGATATGGATGGTGGTGACGGCTGCACAACATTGTGAATGTACTTAATGCCGTTCAATTGTATACTTTTAAATGACTAAATGCCAAATTTTATGTCACATAAAAGAAAAAGAGAACTCTGAGGCTATGGGTTGGGGGTCTCCGTGATGAGCGGGTGCCCCAGATCTGGGGTCTGGGTCCACACATCCTGTCTAGATCCAGGTAAAGGAGAGTCTCGAATTTTGAACAAAGTCGCTTATTTGAAATTGCTCTTACTGAGCACCGCAGAGAGAGACGCCCACCCCTGGATCGCGTCAGCCCCGTGAGCTCTCTCCAGGTCGTCACTCTCCCAGACAGGTTTGTGCAGGGCTCTGCCGTGGGCCCAGTGCCCTCCCCGTCACAGTGGGGGTCCCCACATCCACTTAGAGAAAGCTCTGTCACCTGTGGGCGGGACAGGCCCCAGAGGCCCCTAAAGGCTGCGGCTCCCTGGATCCTGCTGGCTGGCCAGCTGGAGGGGCAGAGGAGGGGCCCATGGGCCGCAGCGTTCTCCCAAATTAGCACAAAGAAATAAAAAAAAGCCGTAAGACCCAGGGGTGCCCGGGTGGCTCAGTCGGTTGAGCATCTAGCTCTTGATTTCGGCTCAGGTTATGGTCCTGGGGTCCCGGGACCGGGCCCCGCTTTGGGCCCCATGCTCAGCGAGGAGCCTGCTTAAGATTCTCTCTCCTCTCTCTCTGCCCCCGCCTGGCTGAAATACATGTGCTCGTTCTCTCAAAATAAGTAAACTCAAAAAAAAAAAACCAAAAACAAAACTTGAAGCAAAGCCGAAGGCTGCAGACTGGCTTGGCCACAGTGAGCTCTGTGTTTTGGGAGCTCCTTTCTGGGCAGCGCTGTGGGGAGCAGCAGTTAGCCCGTGTGTGCCGGCTGGCCCAGGCCCTCCACTTCGGGGAAGTGATCCCAAGGAAACTGTCCAAGAGGAAGAGAGAAAAATTAAAAAGCAATTTGTACCAAGATGTTCACAGTAGCTCAGTCTTCGAGAGCCAAAGGCTGGAAGGCACCCAGCGTCCAACACCTCGGTGGCAGCGGCCAGACCCGGGCTGACACCCAGTTCTCTGGGCTGTTGGTGGGTGCGGCCGTGCGCCCGTCCCACAGCCCCTGGGACCCCCACTCTTCTCTCCATCGGGGAGAAAGGGGCCGGGGAGCGGCAGCCTGTGAGGGCCCTCCAGGAGCCTCCTCTCGGTGGTGGTCGTGAGGCCCCGGCTGGGCTGCGATGGGAGGGCCTGGGGATGGGGACAAAGACCTGAAGACCTTGAGAGCTAAAAGGACTGAATGCCCTGGGGGTGGGTATTAAGGGCAAAATCGAATGGCTGCTAAAAATTCAGGACCTTCCTTTGCCTGAATCTAGGCAAGGTGTGGGGCGCGGGATGAGGGGCCCCACCTGCCTGCCGCCCCTGCCCCCCACCCTCCCTCCCAGAGCTTCCACTGTAGTCCCACCCCTCACCCTCTCTGAACTGAGGCCTGCCCTGCCCCCTCCCCCACTTCCGGCACACGCCTGGGACAGAGCAAGAGGGAAAGAGTAACTGAGAAGGCCAGAGGACCTAGAAACCATGGATGGGGGGTGGTTAGAAACCCCCAGGGGGAGTCTAGAAACAATCTAAATGGCCAGAGTTCGAGGTGGCTTCACAGGTGACTCTTCACAGACGTTCTCTCCCTTTGTTCCTGGGATGAGGGTAGGAGCAAGCATCAAACTTCCCCACTGACAGACCAGAGAGGTGGCCCCGCCAGGGAGTGGGGGCAAAGAACCGAGATCCAGGCCTGGTGCCCTCAGGACCTGTCCTCTGTCTACTGCCCGCCTGTTTAGGGCTAGGGCTAACCTTCCTCCTGCAGGCCTGGAGCCCTGTCCGCTGCCCCTGGTCCCTGGGGAGCGATCTCTGGTCCTGTCACTCTATCCGGGCTGTCTTCCCAGGTTGGATGGTGTCCCCTGGGCTAATGAGGAGTCAGACCACAGAGGACAGAGCGCTGGACAGGGGCTCTGCTTCAGAGTGGGGCAGAGTGACCCAATCCCCAGGTTCATCACTAGGGTGCCCCACCTGCTCCAACCAGGGCGCCCCAAAAGGGGCCCGAGGCCCTGACCCTTGTCCTCACCAGCCCCCTGGTCCCCTGGAAGGGGACAGGAGGAGGAAGAGGGCGCTGTACACACCCACCAAGGGGAACCTAAGGACTGGGGCAGAGGATCTGGTCAGGGGACAGAGGAACCCCGGTCCTCCCCCTAAGCCCCTCCCCTTCCCCTCCCCTGACCTCCCTCCTGGGCCGCACAGCCTGGGACTAACCATTCTCCTCTGAGCCTCAGTGCCTCATCTGCCCAATCCTGGCAGCCCTCCCTCAGTGGGCCACCCAGCAGGACTGGGGCCCAGGGACTACAAGGGCCTCCCCAGGCAGCCAGCAGAGGTCTGGCTCACGGTCAGCTTTCAGCTACCCAGGGCCTTCAATGACCGTAATTAAATCCCATATTTTAAAATCTTCCCTAACATGGCTCAGTCGGTTAAGCATCCCACTATATATACATACATATATATATATATATATTTTTTTTTGTTTGTTTGTTTGTTTGTTTTGGTTTTTTTTGTTAATGTTTATTTATTTTTTGAGAGAGACAGAGCATAAGCAGGGGGAAGGGAAGAGAGAGAGAGAGGGAGTCACAGAATCCGAAGCAGGCTCCAGACTGAGCTGTCAGCACAGAGCCCGACGTGGGGCCCGAACCCACGAACCCTGAGATCATGACCTGAGCCAAAGTCAGACGCTTAACCGACTGAGCCACCCAAACGCCCCTAAGCGTCCGACTCTTGATTTTGGCTCAGGTCATGATCTCACGGTTTGTCAGATGGAGCCCCACATGGGGCTGACAGCTTGGAGCCTGCTTGGGATTTGTTCTCTCTCTGCACCTCCCTGCTCGCACGGTCTCTCTGTCTCTCTCTCAAAATAAATAAATAAACATTAAAAGAAAAAAACCTTCCCCGGCAAATAACAATGAGGCCCCAGAGGGGCCCCTGCTTCTGTGGGAGCACCCGGATCCCTCGGTTCTGTCTCCGGCACAGCCCCGGGAGGGCAGCGGCCTTGTTGGCTGAGTGACACAGGCTCAGCCCCGGGGACACTGGGACGATGCAGGGTCTCCCAGGGAGCTCGGGGCTCGACAGCCATGACCCCTAGGCCCAGGACGTCTCGGCTCCAGTGCCCTGCCGCTGGGAGACGGTCCTGGAGCCCTGTCCCAGATGTACCCGCGTGCACCCACAGGGGCACGGGACTTCAGCTGGGGCCCCCACCCTGAACGGCGAGTGCTGAGGGACAGAACCCAGGTACAGAGACTTCCAGGCCAGATAAGGGCTGTTGAACCAAGGCAGCCCACCACCCCCCACCCCACCGCAGGATCCCAGCACTAAGAACCTGGCAGGAAGCAGTCCAGGAATTACAAATCAGGCAAATCTGAAGGGATTAGGGCCAGGGCGGGCAGGAGCCCTCCCTTATGGAGTTTCAAATCCGAGTCGAGTGTCAGGGATTAGGAAAGGAAGACACCTCCCGGAAAGATCAGCGGATTCCTGGGTGAGCCCGGGCCTGGGCAGGCTGTGGGGGCAGGGTGTGTGCCAGGCTGGGAGGACGGTTGGCGACCACACAGACCCAGCTCTCCCTCAGAGCCCCAGGCTGGGTGGGGGAGACAGACATTCCACACCAACAGATAAGTGAGTGGGATGCTTCAGAGTGGGTGGGGAGGGCTTCTCAGAGGGCATGGCACTTGGGCAGACAATGGAGAAGTAGCTGCTTGACAGAGTTCAGGGGACCCTGCGCCCCACGCAGAGGAGGCAGCAAGTGCAAAGGTCCTGTGGCTGCACTGGGGTTTCCCCCTCTTAAGGCTGGCCAGGTGGCCTGGTGCTGGAGTAGGCACGAAAGGAAATGGCTGAGGGCAGGAGCTGGGTTCTGCAGGCCCTTGGGAGGCCGTAAGTGAGAGGGAAAGACGGACAAATGTACCTTGAGAGGCCCATGCTGGCAGTGGGGAGGTTAGGAAGGGGGCAGGAGGGAGATGGAATGGCCTGTAGTGGCTGGATTTGGGGCCGGCTTCTTGACGGGGAAAAGTGAAGCAGGGTCTGGTCTGAGGAGGCCCAGTCCCCATGATGTTGGAGCAAGGGGGTTGGAGACACGAGGTTTTTAAAGCAGGGACCAGAAATTCCAAATTCTGGCAGGAGTCCCCTGGAGAGAGGAGGGGGACCTCGGCCACAGATGGCCTCTCACCCTTCATATGGATCGTGGAGCTTCCTTCCTTCCACCAGGTGGGCCCTGGGCCTCAACCCTCACCTGGGGAAGTGGATTTGTCCCCTGTCCCCATCCCACGTGCCTCCGTGCTGGGTCTGGAGCCAGGGAAACCCTTGTCTCACCCCTGCCCCCGCCCCCCCCCTCCCCGGATAACGCAGGATTTATTCCCGTGAGTTAATGCGGGGATTTGCAGACAGTGCTCCCACACTGATCTCCCTCGGATCCGCCAGGCCATCTGGGGTAGGAGACAGGGGCCTCCGGTCCCATCCGGTTCTTCAGACCAGCCCCTCCACCGGCCCAGTCCTCCGGGGACCCCAGAGGACGTGACACAGACACAGGTCAGCGTCCACTGGTCCCGGCTTTGTCTAAATGCCTCTGAGGGGCAGGAAAGGACTCATCTCTTCCCCTCACACGGGGCCCCCCCGCAGTAGACAACTGGGGATCAGTGCAGGAAAGTCAGCAGCAGCGGCAGAGACTCAGATCAGACCTCAGAGGCACTTACAGACAGGAGCAAGTTGAAAGCCACTCGCCCAAACTTTCCGACCTGCCCGGGCCCCCGGGCCCCGGGGCTGCCTGTTACCAGAGTGACAACCACATGAGGAGGCGGTGGGGGAGAACAACCCAGAATGAGTGATGGTCGTGTCTGCAGGTCCCAGCCGGGCCCCACAGGGGCCACCCTTGCTGGGGTCCCCCTGCCCACCCACTGTTCCCCCATGAGCTTCACACACGTGGGGTCTGTTGCCCTCTAGAATCAGTGCTGGTCCAGGTGAAAGGAACAGGAATTAACTGTACTTATTTTCTTGTGTTTTTGGAGGGGAGGGGACTCCGTGAGGTGCCGGCTGTGACTGTAGCCCTCCACACCGGCCCCGTGGCTGCCCCCCTGCCTCGCACTCTTGTTCTGACACCTGTTCCCATTCGGGCACGGACCTCAGGGTGCCCAGAAGGAACACCAAGCCTCCCAAGCCCAAACTGTTCCCTCTGTCCCTTGGACCTGTTTCTCCGCCTGCTCCCCCTCTCCCCCCACCCCTGCCCCCTGTGAGCCCCTCTGGAACAGGTCCCGGGGCTTCTCCGTCCTGGCCCTGGTGCCTCCCACACGCCCGGTTTCCGCGCGGAGAAACAGCCTCAGAAGGGGTTGGGCTGGCCCATCGCAGCCCAGGGACGGGCACCACGGAGCGCCTGTGTGAGCTCAGCGAGCTCGCAAACACCTGAGACCCCAGACGTGACAGGGACCTCACGGGCCCTCCGGCCCACGGCAGGCGCTGAGGGGCAGGCAGGCCAGCAACGTGAAGTGGAAACGGCCGCGTCGGGGTGTGCCGGCAGCGCGTCCGTGAGACAAGGCAGCAGCGGGTCAGAGCTGGGGTGCGGGCAGGGGTCGGGAAGGGGACGGCGTGTGCCAAGGCTGGTCGTTCCAGGGAAGCAGGGGGAGGGGCCGGAATGGCATAGAAAGTCACACACCCCCGTTTGCCCACACCACCGCCTCTCACGTTTGGGGAAACCAAGGCGGGAGGCCCAGAGAGGACGCGAGCCCAGCCGCAGGCAGCACGGGGCCCTCTGCAGACGGCTGCCTTCTGGCCTTTCCCCCGGACGCTCTCTCCTCCCGGACACCTTCCTCTGTCCACTCCCACGTGTCAAGAGCTCCCCCTCCTCGAGGCCTCCACAAGCACCCCACGCCCTGGAAGTTGTATGCCCGCTTGCGCACGAGGCGGTGCCAGGGCGGCTCCAGTTCGGCGGACACCCGTCGTCCCGTTCTCCGTGCCAGGTGGGGGCCGGGCCGATGGGCACGGGAAGGGCTTCACAGGCAAGCAACAGCGAGAGCTCAGGGAGGTGGAGACACCCTGGTCTTGGGCAGGCGTGGGGGCTGGCGTGGGAGCCTGCACCTCAGAATCTCTTTCCGCTTTAGAGCCTGCACAGTGTGTGGACGCAGGCACCGTCGGGTCAGATTTCAAGGGGGCAAGTGTGGAAAAGCGGACCCAGAAAGGCTCCTCCGCCTTTTGCTCCGTGA